AGGATTGATACCTTACATGATATGTTAGCACCACCAATTGGTAATTTATCACACGGTGAGACTAAATTGATAAATACTACGTAAAACCTAAAAAAGTTAAGTATTAAATGCACGTAAGAAATGGTACGCGTTAAATACTTACCAATTTATTTATTATTCATGGGTATGTTAAATACTTACCAGTATAAAATACTATCCATTTATATTAAAACATAAAAAAGTTAAGTATTTAGAGGGTGTTCGGTTATGCTGATTTGTTTTTTACCGTAAGTCTGAATGCAAAATAATTACCAGTATTAAATACTTACAATTTGTTTCCATGACCGTACAGCAATATGCTGAATCAAATTATATTTAAATTTCATAAACGATATTTAATATGTTAAAAAATATAAAAAAAATAATAGAACATTAAATAAACATTTGTTCGTGATTATTGAACGTAAAAACAGAAGGAAAAAAGACTAATTACTATGACTTAGGCCCCGTTCCGTTCAACTTATTTTTTCTGATCTGATCTGATTCTTTGTAGTTCTGATCTGATCTGATCGGGTCTGATCTGGTTGGATCTAATCTCATCTGATTGAATCTAATCTTATCTGATTAATTATGATTTGATTTAAAATTCAAATCAATAATTTGATCTCACTTTATAATAGCTTTTGAAAATTGTAATGATAATTCATATTATAATATAATCAATATTTTTTATTTTATGATTTTCTTAATGAAATAAAATTAGTTAATTCAAATACTAGAATAATCATTCATATTATAATGTAATAATATTTCTAACTTTATGATTATTTTTTATGTAATAAGAATATTGATTTAATATTTTAATGATTAGTTCATATATACATTAGAGTAAATTTTTAATTCATATATACATTAAAAAGTAATTAAATTTTGTAATCAATATATAAAGATAGTATTTTTATTAAAATATCTCATCCTTATAAAATATCAATGTTAATCAAAGAAATACTACATTTTTCTGCATCTTGTATAATACTCTGTAATATATTACATGCTAGATGTGCTAGACAAAAAAACGTTGTATGATATAAATAATACATTGTATAAAATATAACACACTCATATTCTCTTCAATCCCACTCATTGAATCTCAAATTTATTTTTTGAAACAATCGTATCAAATAAAACAAGTAAAAAGTATGGAATTTAAAATAACAACAACAACAACAACAATAGTAATAATTTTTTATTGGATCTGATCTAATCTGGTCTTATATGATTGGATCTAATCAGATCTGATTGGATCTGATTAGATCTAATCTTATCAGATTAGACCTGATCTGATCTGATTTTAATAAAAATAAGAAAAAAGCAGAAAAAATAAGTTGAATGGACCGGGGCTTTAGACTATGGTAATAAGCACAAAATAGGTAGCTGAGTCTTATGCAATTAATAAATTGATGAAAAATGAATAGTACTTATTCGAATATATGGAAATGGTAATAAGGAATACCCCAAGGTTCCCGGATGACCCGGGGACTTCGGTGCCCCGTTCGTAAAATTGACGATTCCTACCTCCCATAACCCCCAGTAAACCCCCCACCCCGACCCGTACACACCCCCTACCCCCGTCAATTGCACCCCACAAGTTGATTTTGACTTTGGAGTCAAAATTTGACTCCAAAGTAAAAATCAACTTGTTGGGTGCAATTGACGGGGGTAGGGGGTGTTCGGGACGGGGTGGGGTGTGGGGGTTTATTGGGGGGTTAGGGGGGTAGGAACCGTCAATTTTACGAACGGAGCATCGGAGCGCCCCCGGATCATCCAGTGTCATGGGAACCCCACCCTAAGGAATATAACCATATGTGCTGAAAGGAATGTAATTAATAAATCCTTTAATATAAATTTTGAGAGTTGATTAAATTAGATGATGACACCTGTACTTAATGAAAGCTTATTTTATTGACAAATCAGCATCCACGCGTCATTCTCCCATGCGTTTTCCAAGCGGAAGAAAAAAAAGGAATTCCCCAGGCGTGGATCTCTTCGTCGTCCCAATTTCCAGCGGAAGGTTCCTTTTCTCGCCTTTCCATTTTCATCGCGAGAAATCACTGATTTTCAAGATTTTTTCAAGGATTTCCATCTTCATCCGAATCAATAGCCGATCCAGGTATCGCGGATCAACATAAGGTATTTTTCCATCTCCATCTTGAACAAGGAAAGACTTCAAATTAGGTATTTTTTTTCCTTAAATTTTTTTGGGTATTTATATATTCTGGAGCAAAATCCGAAGATTCGATATGGGGTCATTCCATGGGTTCAAAAATCTCTGTTTTTTTCGGAAATTTGATTTCAGAAACTATTATTTCCAAAAAATTTCCTTTCACGTGTATGTAGGGTAATTTTCTGCAGAAATTCATTCTTATTATCATTCCTACATTCCCTATAAATATTTTGTCTCAGTTAAAATTATACTCCATAGTACCCCTGCTTTTCTTCCATTGAAATTTTTTCCGGATTCCTCCTTAACATATTCTTAAGACAAGATGACTATCCATCCTTTATCAAAAATCAATCCAACGAGTGAATGTTGGAGAATCATGGCTCGTGTCATTAGACTATATGCTTTACCTCTTTATAGTGATGAAAAGACGACAAATTCTATTGAGATGGTGTTCATGGACGAACAAGTAAGTCAACGTTTAATTTATAATTTTGCATATGACTCTTATTATGTGTATGTACTTTATTTATGCCAAGACCAAGAGTATGTACTTTAATTTTTTTGTAGATGAATTTGCAAACATTTCAAAGCATTTAGAAGAATACCTTCAGGATTATTGAAATGGTAATATGATATATTTTCCCTACTTATTTAATTCAACATGTTCAAAGACTAATACTTATTTTCCCTAATAGGTTCAAAGACTTCTGCCACTTTATTTTGAAGCAAACATAATCAGTTTGCTTCACTTGGTTTAAGGACTCTACTCATGGCTTGTTATTTACTTCTGGAATGTTGTTTGAAGCTACTGCCAATTGCTTCAATAATGATATTTGCTTCTACAATGCTGTATTTTTGCTCTTTCTGAAGCTACTTCTATATGCTTCTGTAATAATGCTTTTTTAGTCTTTTGTACTACTACGACTGTATTACAATTTGCAAAAGTGACACACATGCAGTTTTTTATTTAATATGACTATTTATACTGTTATTCTTATTGCCAATTGTGTAATATACCTTTTTGTTTAATAAAAAAATCCCGTACCAACATCATTTTTTCCTGAACCATACCGTACCAATATTTTGGGATCGGTAACGGTAAAATATGAAATCCCATACCAAACCGAAAGTTGTGGTACGGTATCGGTACATGCCTAATCCAATCCCATACCGTACCATGCTCATCCTTATCAGATACTAACACATAACCTACAAGCAATCAATCTAATTACCTTCCTGAAGCAAAGGAGTTGCGAGAGATGCGATGTTGCCGCCGAAGTACCTTATAAACAAATCAACACTTTCATTTTTTTTATACTTTGCCTTTTGAAAGGGTCCAAAGACCGGGTTTAAAACCAATTGCCTCGATACCAAAATGTAACACCCTGACCCGCGTGACCCGAATACAAGGACCGGCATATGGAGTCGCTACTAAATTAGCATCCAAACATAATAGTTTTTAAACAATTTATAACATTTATTTCAAAATATTATTTAAATATCCATCGGAGTTAACAAAATAGTGCAGAAGCTTTAAGTACTTAATTCAAACATAACTTGGGTCTTTCCCTTAAAATATAATAAATTCAAATAACACATTTAAACTAAATAACTCCTCAAACGGCATCCATCCATCTCTTTACCCTCGTTGCCTCCAAGACTATTGTCGTACTCATCATTCATGTTACCTACGTGTAACATTTTGACTAGACATATAGACAAACTCACTATCTTATAATTTCATACAATATCATGCACACGAGGAGGACATTAACAATATCACATAACAATCTTTAAATGAATTCACAAATCACAAATCATCACCTTAATTCATCTTTATTTATGGCTCATAACATAAATACTAGGCTAAGACCACACATCCTTACTCACAACCCTATCTTCGGACTTAGAGCTACTACCTACAGCCATGACTCAAGTCTACCTTATTCAACATCTTACAATAAACCATGACTTGACCAACGAAGGAGTTCTCCACTGGGTGGGTGGTACCCTTGTCCCCTTCGGAACAATAGTTTGTGGATCTCGTACGTATATTTTAACTTACAACCGTCAGATATCAGATCTGTAAGGCTAATTCTACCTATTGACATTTAAACATACGATCTTACTAAGCAGTCCTAGACTTCCTCCTAGGTAGCTTAACCATTTATGTACAACATCCCTAAAATTCATGTTTATGCTAACAACAATCTCACTTCGTTATTTACTTTCCAAACACAACAAGATTATATTTTATTATAACAAGAAATATAACAATAATCATATAATCAATCAAATAACACAATTAGCGGCCTAGTGTCGGGTATAAACACCTTTCACTTACCGTTATGCAACACACAGTCTTGGAATCTATTTAGGTTCCAAATCGGGACAAACAAACAAATAACGGGTTGAGAAAGGGTCTGACATGGTACCTATCACAGTACCTCGGTAGCGCCTGGCAGTAACCTGGTACCGTTGGTCTGGTACCCCCTACCATCCGGGCACAGGTACCTGCAGAACTAAACAGCTCGTGATGAATTGTGGCGGTAGCAAGGTACCGTGTAGCGGTACCTAGCTACCTGACATCGAGAAAATATAGAAACATTAGAGTCCCATCCCATTCCAAACAATTCAATAAGTATAACATTTTTAAAGATTACTAACACACAAATCACACAAATTAGAATAAAAGAACGTACTTAGGCTTCTTTGATCAATTGATTTCAATAACATCATCCTTTAGGATCTGCAAGTCATCCTTGAGTTCTGGACAACTGTTCTTCGTGTGACCCAACTTTTCACAGTAATAGCACCTAACAGTGCTCATGTCTCTCAGATGAGATCTTCTCCCAAGTTGGTCACTCTTCTTCTTCCTCCCTTTCTCAACACTCACAGCAGCTAGTAAATGACGGTCCCCGGAAGACTCTTCACCTCCCATCATCCTTTGACTCTCCTTCAAGGCAGTCGTCACCTCATCTAGTCACAGTGTAGTCCTTCCTACTATCATTGACTACACAAACGGCTTAAAGGATTTTGGTAGTGAAGCCAGTAGAAGCAGCCCTTGCTCTTCATCCTTGATAGTCTCCCCTGCATTTAACAGCCTTGATACTTGCTCATTAAACTTGTTGATGTGATCAATTACGCTACCTCCCTCTTCCATCTTCAGTGAGTACAAGTCCATCCTCATCATCAACCGGTTAGTAAGTGTCTTCGACGCAAACTTGCTCTCCAACGTTTCCCACAGCTTCTTTGGTGATGTCTCTTTCAGCACTGTCACTTTAATCTGTGGGGACAGTGCCAACCGAATTGTGCTGGCAGCCTTCTTCAGGATTGTACTCCACTCTGATTCTTTCATATCACTTGGCTTCTCATCTTGCAATGCTAAATCAAGACCTTGCTGGACCAAATAGTCTTGAATCGTGCATTGCCACAACATGAAGTCCGTTCTTCCATCAAATAACGGAACTTCAAACTTCAAGGTAGTCATAGTTCCACTCAAGCAGCAATCAACCAATACCAAACAATCCAAATTTGAGGAAACTGACCTAAAAAATGGAATCAAGACGTCAAAATTAGTCAGAACCAACTTCTCTCCGAAAGTCACCAGCGGGACCCACACGATGACTGGACCTACTGATGTGGCGCTGACTGGATGATGACGTGGCACTCGGACCCACAGACTACTGACGTGGCACTCATGGACCCACCTCTGCTGACTCGACCACCACCTCCTCCACTGAAGTGGCACGCCCTCCTCTTGCTCCTTGCTCTATCTCCTTCCTCCCTAGACTGCAACTCTGTAATTAATAATTCTTTTATGATGTGGAAGATCAGCCAAAGCTGCAACCACAGAGCATACTAAGAATTATAATTACTAGATCACCCGGGCTCTGCACCTTGGCTCCGATACCACTTGTTAGGCCCCCACTGCAAACAAATGGAAAGAAAAAAAAGAGAGCACACAAATTTTTAACGTGGTTCGGCACCTCAAGACCTACTCCACGACCTCCTCTGGGATAAAATCTCACTAGTAATTTTTGCACGGAAAAATTACAAACCCTCTCCAATATTTGACACTCACAACCTAAAATCTAATACACAATTATATAGATTGAAGGATTGTGTTGTGTGATGGAAGCCTATATCCCATCTTTATTTATAGACTTCAATCCCTCCTCAATTTTCCTATCTCACCGATGTGGGACTTTGAAGTAACACTCAACAGCATAAATATTCTTAGGCATTTGCATAAAGTGACATGATATGTTTTGAGAGTTCGCGTGCATGATGCTTTATTCCTAAGCATTCTATGATGATAGATTATTTTTACTACACTTTCTTTTACACTTGAGCATGTTGTGATAGTAGTTAATTGTCTTAATTGCCACTACACTTGAATTTTGATTTATTTCTTGCATAATTGTCGTTGCGCCATCTGCAGGTTTTTGATGCCCTTTAGAAGTTGAACCATAGTCACCTAAATCGCGTTATGTTTTGGTACGGGTACGCGCCACTGGCGGACCCACATAGAGTCACACGGGGTCACACGACCCCACGGAAATTTTGTAATTTTTTAAATACTTGTATATATGCATTTAGGTGTATATATCTATTATATAATGTTACGGAAACACTCTTAAGAATTTTTGGACGGACAGGCGGAGTGGTTAGCGCGTAATAGATGTATTCGTTTTAGAGGTCTAGTGTTCGAGCCTGCGTGCTGATACCCATTCTTTTCACTTTTTGCTTTCCTTCTTTTTCTTCTTTTTTTGTTCCCTACTTTTTTTGAGTAAATTCCATAATTGGTCCTTTATAACAGAGGGGTTTCTATATTTGGTCCTCTATTATCAAATATTACCCTCGTGGTCCTTTTTTAAGGGTGTCATTCCACAAATGGTCCTTTTTTGATCTTCCGCCATATGGGTATTATTTTAAAGACTAAAAGTATATTTTGACATCAACATTATGACCGGTGACATGTTCTGATATTGGTTAAGCGGATAACACAAAAATAATGACTATGATTGTGGTCTAGGATTCCGACGGAAGACCACGTTTGTAGACTATGATTGTAGTAGAAAGCGAATGTAATTCACAAACGATGCAAACGGAACAACCTTTGGAATTGTGTTTGACAAAAAAGATATATTATCATTGTGAAATTACACTTTTAGCCCTCAAATTAATACCAACATGATAAAAGATCAAAAAGGGACTATTTGTGGAAAGATACTCATAAAAGAAGGGCGAGTGGGGTAATATTTGATAATAGAGGACTAAATAGGGAAACCCCCTTGTTATAAAGGACCAATTATGGAATTTACTCTTTTTTTTTGTTTTTTTCATTCTTTCATTGTCTACTCATATTCCCTTTCTTCCATAATTGAATTGACTTTTTAAAACATGTACAAAATCAAGAATCTTTTACATATACTTTATTCACAGATTAATATTGAAATTAAAATTTATCCAGTTTGACATAAAAAAAATCATACTATATGAATACTCTGAGATAGAGAGAGCATAATTTACATAATAAAAAAATACATAAATTTTTTTGTTAGAAAATTAGATGTAACGAGAATATTTTATTCTATTAAATAATCAATGAAAGCGTATAAGCAAAGGAAAGTTTGTCAGTATAGTAATAATTTAATTAAGTTTGGGACGGAGGAGGGAGACACATATTTGTTACTATTAGTGATAATATTATAATAATATAATATTAAAATATAAAAAGTTGATGCGACTGGTTACTTCATATAAGTTATAATTTATATTCACATTGAATTACAATTATTTATTTTCAATTCACTTTAATATTTTTTCTAATAAATATAAACTTTAATTTTATGAATTACTCATCATCTCGTTATGTTTGTCTTACCTATTATTTACAGAGTCAAATTAGATATTCTTTCGTTACATGTTTTCGTCTATCATTTTCTTAAAAAATAGTTATGAACTTCTTTTATAAAATGTTTTATATTATTTTTAAATATATTATTTTTAAGTTTATATTCAAAGCCAATATTTAAATAAATTCAATAAAAATGTTTTAGTGAACATTATAAACCGAAATGAGACAAAATGTTTCAAAAGAATACTTTTTTATTTAACGCACGACATGTCATTTGTTGATAAAATATCTCACAAACACGACCCCACGACCTCAAATTTCTGGGTCCGCCACTAGTACACGGTATAGGTATGATGTTCGCTAGAGGTTACAATCCGGTATAAAGGGGGTAGGTTCATTTCGGTACAAAGTGGTACGATGTACCATTTATTCGGTTCGACGTACCAAAAGTCAAAACATAAGTAAACAAAAATAGATATGATGAGCATAAGTGCATAACATTACAAAATCCAATAAAAAACAAAACATCAGCTAAAATATTCTAGTATGATTGTTGCCTTTTTCCTCTCCCATTGTCAAAGCCTTCATCATGAAGGTCTTCCTAAACCATTTCTTCAAGGCGAGCACTTGAACCTTCTAAATATGCATTTTCTGGATTCAAGTTCCACTTTTTGTGAGGGCTTGATCTGTGGGAATCAAAAAAGTGTGATTGAAATCGAATATTTGAGTGAATAAACACAATTTTATCGGCTCTCTTGCAATTTAAGTGATTCCTCTTGACATTATGGATATAGGAGTATGAACTCCAATTTCTCTCCGTAAAATTTTCTTCTCTATTTCCGCCAATTCGGGAGTCTCTGATCCGTATGTTGCCCACCAATCAATTGGATCCATTGTCACAACATTAGGTTGTGTTCTGCCCTAGAGTACATCGCTTTAATTTCTTCATATGAAAGGTTGCAAATTGTTCTATTAATACCCTCTATTCATCAACATCTTCAACAATTCTATGAAATGCTTCCCTAACACCAACTACAAGTTCTTTGTCTTGGTTTGGTGCTCTTTCTTTCCATGCCACCATGAGCCAACCTTTTTAGGTAGAATTTATCATAAAATTTTGGATTTAAAGCAATAGCCAACAATGAAGTAGGATTGTCATTTTCTCCCAACTATCTAAAACAATTCTTTCAACTTCAGAAAAAGAAGATGAATATTTATTATACTTCATAGCATCTTTGATTTCTCCTACCATGTTATCCATTTTTCATAGATTTCTCTCATTTTTAGACCTTCCCGATCACAAAACTTCACCATCAAAAAAACCTGTTTTGTAAAAGTCAAAATATTCTCAACGTCTTCCCAAAACTCGTCATCTCTTATTATTTCAGTGACAATATATCCAGCTGCTCGCATGTTTTCATCCCTATTGTTGACCCATTCCCGCCAAAAATTAAGGACTATAGTGGTAGAAAGTGCCTTTCTGCAATCTATTAACATTATCCAAAGGATATAAGGTGATGCAAAGCGTGTTCTTGCAACCTTCAATAACTCCAACTTTGAATTTCCCCTGAAGAATGATAAGGTATGGGTATGGTTGAGTAAATATTTTACAATTCCCTTGCCTTTATTATACGTGTTGAACAACCATGAGAATTTTTTTTGCCAAGTTTTTAAAAATCAGATTTAAGGTATGCACACAACAAGGAAACCAAAAGATATGCCTATATACTTTATCGATTTCCCTCTAGACTACTTTTCAATTAGCTGCGTTATTGGTTACAACCTGTAACACATTACTTGATCCAATGGTCTTAATGGCTCCAAGAAGAAACTTAGAGATCTTTACTCTTGTTTTTTCCACCCCTAAAAAGTCTTCTGAACACATAAACATTGCACCACATGAATTGACAACAAGAACATTGATTAGTGGGTTATGTATAACATTAGACCATCCATCCAAGACTACCGAGACGCATTATGTGTATCAACTATCTTTAAAAGTTGTTAGCTCATTCTCAATATCGCGTACACATTCATCAAGCAATACTCTTGTTTTTTTCAAAATACGAGGTTTGTATCCGGCTCGTGCTTTCTGGATGGCACTAATCATTTCAAGAAATTACGAGTTACATAATACATTGAATGGAATCCCGTTTGAACACAATCCTCGAATGATCTTCATATCCATCGTGTTTCTCTCCAACATGCTAAAAGATTATTCAAGTCGTTTCTTTGAAGATGCATTTTTGGAGAGTGTCAGATTCCTTAAATATTTTGAAACTCTAGAATTTTATGATTCTTTTACTTTATTCAAAATCCTCTCATACATCTCTCGATTTTTATATATGGTTGGACATCTTATTATCTTAGCTTTTTTCCAAGCGGCGGGACCTTAAAAATGGACATTAATCTTGGTATTCAAAATTTCCCTTACAATGATTGCAAGTCCACTTTGTAGAACCTCCAAGATTCTTACTATTTCCTATAAGATTGAAGTAATCAAAAACAAATAGTTAAACAAGATTATACAAATGATGTAATGACTCGGAATCCGGCTTAGTAGTTAGCCGTTATTTTAATAAAGATAAATATTAAATTTATTTACTCAAAAATATGAATTGTTTGCAAAGTTATCTGTTTTGAATAAAAATTAGATTTTTTGGGTAGATCTCGTAAAATGGTGACCAACGGTATATAATTTATTAAATTTGGACATATGTGTAGAGCGTGGTGAGTAAAATAGTTATTACAGTTCAATAGATAAATAGAAAGAATTTTATAATATAATGATAATAATAATAATAATAATAATAATAATAATAATAATAACTATACATACGTTTCCTATTCGTAAAAGGAAGATAAGGAACTCTCCCATCTATATATAGTTATATGGGTGGGGTTCCCAAGACATTGGAATCCAATGTCAGGGGATGACTCGGGGCCGCTCCGGTGCCCCGTTCGTAAAATTGACGGTTCCTACCCCCCTAACCCCCCCCCCCCCCCCCNCCCCCTACCCCCGTCAATTGTACCCCACAAGTTGATTTTGACTTTGGAGTCAAAATTTGACTCCAAAGTCAAAATAAAATTGTGGGGTGCAATTGACGGGGGTAGGGGGTGGGTTTGGGTCGGGGCCGGGTGGGGGGGGGTTTACCGGGGGGTTAGGAGGGGTAGAACTGTCAATTTTACGAATGGGGCACCTGAGCGGCCCCGGGTCATCCCATGACATTGGGTTCCAATGTCATGGGAACCTTATTGTAGTTATATACATACACGCAACAGAAGAAAAAAGGGAAACACATCGTAGAACTGAAAAAAAGAAAAAAAGAGTTGGGAGGGGGAACGAACAGATCAGACCTCAGAGAGAACAGAGCCGCAGGAAACTGGTTAGAGTGGTACCTGAGCATGTCGCCTGATCCACCGCTGCCGCTGTTCACCGCCAACTAACGATGTCGATGTTAGCGCCACGTCTCTGTCATTCCTTCGTCCCTTTGATTTATTTTTATTCGTCAATTAATCGAGGTGAGTACGTGGACATCTAACGCTAGATTTCGTATATAGATTTGAAATTCACGTTCATAGTTTCGTATGATTGATTATGTGGTTTATTTGATTATAATTAATTTATGATTTATTTATATTATATATTATTATTGGAATTGATTGAACGAGGACGGTCAGGTACATTTTCTTACTTCAAATTTGTGTGATTTGCATGACGGTAAGTGTAAGGTGTTTACACCCAACGCTAGGCCGCTATTTGTATTAATTGATATAATATATGATTATTGTTGTTCTCTTATTATTTATATATATAATTCTGATATGCTTTGTGTGAAGCAAGTAACTGAATTGTTGATAGTGATATTTGTATAATTAAAGTAAGATAATGAAATAGGTTACCTAGATGAACTCTAGGACTACTTTGTGAGAATTGAGATTGTGAATTGACAATAGGTTGTAGAGCCTTGTGGACTTAGTGTCCAGTGGCATTCGGGTAATGATGTACGTACATGGAATCTGAGATTTAATCCCTATGATTGGAGGTTCCACCCAACCGGCGCCGTAGGTAGCGGGTTTACCCGAATCATGGCTGTAGGTAGTGGTTCTGATGTCATAGAATAGACTTTGAGTCATGGCCGTAGGTAGTGGCTCTAAGTCTTAATATAAGAATGTGGATAATGAGAAATTGGCCTTAGCCTAGTATAGGTTATGAGCTAGTGTTTGATATGCGTTATGATAATGGCTTGAATATTGTGATAATGACATGTGCAAGTGGAGAATCAAGGTAAGTAACATAAAGTATGTTGTTATAACATAGTTGTTGTATTTGATAGTTGTTATATGTTATTATTACTGTTGTACTTGTGTGCATGATATTGTATGAAGTTATGAGCTAGTGGGTTCGTCTATGTGCGTAGTCGAAACGTTAGATATTTCTCACTTAGCTTCAATGTTGAGCGTGTAGCCCTTTGTCCTATTTGCTACACGTAGGTAACATAATTAAATAAGGAACTATCATGGAGGGCAGCAAGGACGAGATGGTTGATGGATGCTGACTGGAGGAGTTATCTAGTTTAATTATTGCATTTAAATTAATTGAATGTTTTTAAGGGCAAGAACCCAAGTTGTATTTTGAATTAAGTAGTTTAAGGATTCCGCACCATTTTTGTTAACTCCGATGGATGTTAAACTATGTTTTGAAATGTTTATTTAAATTGTTTTGAAAATTATTGTGTTTAGATGCCAATTTAGTAGCAACCCAACCCGCTGGTCTTTGTATTTTGGTCACGCGGGTTCGGGTGTTACAAATGATAACCAAACTGTAATTTAAAAATGATAACAAAACACATTGAGGGAAAATAATAAGACAACATATTGTTAAAAAAAGTTTCATTCATATTAGAAAAAAAGGGGAAAAAATAGATTTATAAAATTATAAGTTCAAGTGCTGAACTTACCAGTAACAATGAAGGTAACTTCATCTAGTACGGGTTTGTTATTATCCTTCTCTTCAACATTGGGGTGACTTTGAGTTTGGCTTGCACTTTTTGTTTGTTCAACAACTTCAACTTCATCATCAACATCAACATAACTTTGTGTGTTACAAATATAAGTCTCACTATCATCTTGAGTATAATAAGATTTATTATTTTTCCCAAAAGCCATTGAAAAAAAGAGAGAAAATTCAAAGTAGAGGAATAGAGATTGGGTTGTGAGTGGTGAGAGTGTGAGAAAGTGAGACAATACAAAATCATTGCTCAGTATATGTGTGTGTGTGTGTGTGTGTGTTCTGGTAAGATTGCGACCGTAGGAGAGAAATGAGAATTAATCTGGTGTCTTGGATTATGAGATCTAACGCTCGGAATTGCATCCAAATTAGGTGCACCAAAATGGTTTGAAAATGCATCATGTCAAAATGCACCAAAATGCTTTGAAAATGCACTATGTCAAAATCTGAGCGCAGAATGCAATATGAGCTGCACGATGCATCAGATCCAACGCCTAGATTTTATTTTCATTTCTCTCCACAAGATGCATTCTCCCGGGGACCGGCCCATATATATATATAAATATATAAATATATATATATATATATATATATATATATATATATAATACTTAGATGTAAATTGAATTTGGAATTAAATATTAAATGAGTTTTTTTAGATAACATTGGAAAGTTGACTAGTGGAATACACGTGCTTGGGTAGTGGGACTACTCAATTTACGTTAAGTCTGGGAAAGACAAATCGTTAATTGGAAGAGGGAAAGTTGCTAATTGGGAGAGATGAAGTCGCCAATTTGACTGGTTCATTGTACCGCCAACGATTGGTACTACATTCTTTTCAACTTGGTGCGCCCTACCAAGGGGCTAAGGACGATTTCAGTTGGCTTTAGGTACGCCGTACCAGCTACGATCGGACCACATTCGAATTGCGATTGGGTACACCTCATACCAATATGAAATTCGTGTCATGGGTAGCGAATTCTGTGGCTATGAGTTGAAGAAACTAATATGGCAACATATAAGAAGAAAAAGAAGAAGTTGAAGAAAGAAAAGGGCGAAAATGAAGAAGAAGCAAAAAAAGAGTTGAATTATGATTTCTGTCATTTTTGAATTTTACATGCATAGTTGCTTGAATGCATTGAAAGAATGCTCATCAATTTGACATGTTCATTTTCCAATATATATAATATAATTTCAGCAACAAATGTTATACTGAGAATGGTTTTTAATTATTTTAATTTTTAAAGTCGATGTTTCATTTTATTTGATTTTCGAAAAATATTATTGCGAAGTAAAATAAAAAAAATGTCGTTTAAGTGCGTGCATCGCATGAGTACGGGTGTATACGAATCGAATCAAATATCTAGATATTCAATTTGTATTCATTTGAAATATATCTATTCGAATTCATATTCATTTATAATTTGAATTTTTAAAAATATTCATATTTGCTTTGATATTATATCTGATGTATTTGAATTCATAATTCAATATTTGAATTCGAAAACTAGTAAAAGATTTTTTAAAAAGGCATTTCATAGATATAGGCTGTGTTCCGTTCGCTTGATCTCATTTGATATGATCTGATTTTTCAAAGTTCTGATCTGATCTGATTGGATCTGATCTGATATGAATTTGATTAAAATTAAAATTAAAATTTTTATTATAAGAGTTATAATAATAGTTATAATAATAATAATAGAAATAATAATAATAATACTAGCATTAAAAATATTAAAAGAAATAATAATAATAATAATAATAATAGAGATATTAATATTATTAATAATAAGAGTAATAGTAATAATAATTATAGTCATAATAATAATAGTAGTACTGATAGTAATAGTAATAATAGTAATAATAATAATAATAGAAATAATAATAATAATAATAACAATAACAATAATAATAGTAAAAGTAATAGTAATAGTAATAATAATAAATATAATAATAATAGTAATAATAATCATAGTAAAAATAATAGTATTATTGATACTAATAGTAATAATAATAACAATAGTTAGAATAATTATAATCATAATAGTAATAGTAATAATAATACTAATACTAATAATAGTGGTAATAATAGTAATAGTAATAGTAATAGTAATAGTAATAAAAAGAAAAATATTTATTTTGTTTAGATGTGGTCTGATCTGATTGGATCTGATCTGATCCAGTTTGATCTGATTTTAATAAAAATTCGTAATAAGCACAATAACTAAGTTGAACAGAACGCTGCCATAATAAGTTATTTTTTATTAACTACGAGTAACATAAATTGACAAATTCATCATAACACATCTAAAATACTACTCATATTGCTACGAATTTTGAAAGCGTGAAAGCGGCGGTGATTGAGAAAAAGAATAAGATTATGGGTTTTTTTAAATAGAATAAGATTAGAATTTGTTTGGAAGAACCTTTTTTATTTAATCCAACATATACGAATAACTAGGGTGTATTAGACTATTAAGGTATATATATTTATTTATATTATTCAAATAATTTGAAATATAAACGATTTAGATCTGTTTATTTTCGCATTCAAATATAATATTTGATTTATATTCGAATTCGGATTCAATAAGGCAAACAAGAATCATCTTTTTCAAATACAAAATAATTAATGAATATTTTTATATTTGATTTGAATCTCTACGCTTGACTTAGAATGATAGTTTGTGTAAAGGAGATGGATATGAGTGGGACTGAGAGGGCGTCATTGGCCCAGTGGGCTTGAGGTATCCCATACACGCGAAACCCTGAGAAACCCTAGCTATTTAAAGTGTTCGAAAGCAGAGAGGAAGAATCAAGAAGAAGAAAGGCGAAAATGCAGATCTTCGTGAAAACTCTCACGGGTAAGACCATCACTCTCGAGGTCGAGTCTAGCGACACTATCGACAATGTCAAGGCCAAGATTCAAGACAAGGAAGGTGCGTTTTCTGTCTATAATCTCGTTTAGGCTTCCCGATTCGTTTAATTTCAACCTAATTTATGCAAAAGTCCATATCTTTATTCCTTTTTGCGTTAGGAATTCCGCCGGATCAGCAGAGATTGATCTTCGCCGGAAAGCAACTTGAAGATGGCCGGACCCTTGCCGACTACAATATCCAAAAAGGTAAACGTTTAATCTAGGGTTTTGTTCTTGATGCCTTTTTGGATTCAATCACCGTGGAATTTGACTTGATTTGGGATTCGAACAGAGTCTACTCTGCATCTGGTGTTGAGGCTTCGTGGTGGAATTATCGAGCCGTCTTTGATGGCTTTGGCTAGGAAGTACAACGCTGAGAAAACGATCTGCCGCAAGTATATTCTCATTTCCTCATCCCCAATATGCTTTTTTGTTTATTATCATCCACTGAATCTTTGGGCATATGAAATCTCTAATCTGGATAATATTTCTTCAACTTTAAGTAAAAAAGTGACATCTTTTTCTACAGGGAAGTTCTGGTATAGGGCAGGATTATATACCGTGTTTGAAAACAAAAATTTTCAAAAAAATAATTGAATCCCCTAATTGTTTCCAGATTATTATACTTTCTGAGATCTATACCTGAATTAGAAAATGCTGTCTCCAATAAGTCCTCTTCCATGTGTTTGATCATGTGCTTTATTGCAAATTATTTTCTAAACTATTCAGGCAATCATCTTACATATGAAATTTGTGATATGGATTCTGTATCATAATTTTATTTGAAATTCTATTTTACATCCTCAAAATATTACTGTGGAGTTTAAGTACCAACAATTACTGTAGTTGATGATATATGAGCTATATGGGTCTTAGCCTTTTACAAATACATTTCAATATAACAGCTGTGTTTCCCTTTAGAGTAGTGTGGTTACTATTGCTTCTTTCAAAATAAATTTTAAACACATTACATGTTTTGCTTAGTTGGTGTGTTTTGTTGAAGAGACTCTTAGATGGGGATAGGGTTTAGAGCTAAAATTCTATTACCCCGCTCCAAAATTTGAGGGCATGTGTTGTCCTCCCAACCCTAAAAATGTTTTGTGCAAAACGATTAAAGAGTCATCATCTGTTCCCTCAAACAATTCTCACTCTAAGCTGGATGTAATGAGTACTTAGTGGATTATGTCATTCTTTTTTTCCCTTTGGTTCTGATAAAGTTCTCTTTTCAATTAGGTGCTATGCTCGCCTTCATCCCCGTGCTGTCAACTGCCGTAAGAAGAAATGTGGTCACAGCAATCAGGTTTTTATTATATTTGGTAGCCCTGGTATTTTATTGTTTGTGAAGAGGTTAAAAATAATATAAATGAAGGTATTAGATGTAAATATGGAGATAATCTTTCACAACAATTTTTTGGCTAGTTATTGGTAAATTAAGTTATATTTTTCTAAAATGCATTATGAATTAGTAGTAAAAAAGTAACTCAGTTTTTTTAATGCTAGAGGATTACAAACCTTAGTTGGCCCCTGATTTGGAGCTAAGAAAGAGTTGGCAGCTCACCCCTTGGCCTTTTTTTACCTCGTCTTAAACACCAATAGTTTCCATCTCACAGCTTCGCATGGTAATGACATTTTCCCATTTTTTGGTTACAGTTGAGGCCAAAGAAGAAGATCAAGTAGATGATGTGTGGGAAGGTTATCCAAGGTTGTCATCATGGTTTTGCTTTCTTTTGTACCTGCATGTGTCATTGTGTTGTCTCAAACTATTTATCTGTTTCTTAAATTAAGAATGTTTTGACATTAAGTTGAAGTTTTCTGTTCCATTAATGGTTTGGTAATCATTTTGGGTAACATTCACCGTCGTTTACCTTCCCCCGTTCTTAGTTGTAAGCCATACCCTCGTTTACCTTTGTTAAGGTTTAAAAAAAAACAACACCCATCAAGAGAGCACTGGGCGCAAGTCCATAATTTCTAATGGCTGCTCTGTGCAGACACTGCAATTGCCGTTCAGCATATTTTAGGCTCGTGAATCAAATCTGGGATAACTTTTGGGCCAAAAGTAGTTTTAATCCTGAGGTAAACAATACAAAACTTTGTCCCCATGTATTTGTTTAATTTAATTCATGTGTCAAACTGGATGGCTTTTCAACAATAATTTCGTTGAGCCCTGTTTTAAGTACTTAAATGTGGAGGAACCACTGAACCAGCATATAATGGTTATCGATTTGAGTTTTTCTTTCTTTCTTCTCCCGTCGGTAATCTTCCTCATCTTCTTTCCTCGCATCGTCCATAGCTCTCCGATAATTTCTCTCTATCGTTCCTCTGGTAAACTATTGTGCACGACAATGTTTCCCTAGATATGAGCACAATGATTGGATCAGTCATACAAGATTAGTCCTTAGAAATTTTAGAATAATTGATACGGAGTAGTTTTTTTTTGGCGGGAGTATGACTTAAAATGGAGTTACTTCCGTCTTTTTTCGTAATTGGTCCGAATCCGTTTTGTCTTCGTAAAAAAATGGCTTTTCTTCTGGGTAGTCTGTTAGGGACTGATTCAAGATTGGTTTGGTCTTTATCTTAGAGTAATTTTACACTTCAAGTATTTCCTCTTTCTCAATTTAAATCTTATGTTTTGGTTTATGATGTTTGATTAAAATTATTTTTTTAATTATTTTATATTTAAAATAATATAGTGTAGAAGTAAAGAAATTAAAGTTACATATATAAAAAGAAAATATAGAAAGAAAGTGATTAAATTTGATATTTGAAATAATAAACATGAAACTTATTTTGGAATGTAAGGGGAGCATTTAGGTATTTAAAGAATAAAAAAATCTTAATTTTCATGAGAGTAAATGTTACTCCCTCCGTCCTATAATGATCTTCCTAGAGCACTATTCCAACTTCACGGGAATTTATATTTATTTGTGTTTTTTCATGGCCTATATGATAAAATAAAATATTCTTGTCACCACTTGTTTTATTGAACTTTTGGTGTAGTTTTTAAATATGTATGTTTTATTTTTTATTTCTATACAATTATTTAAATAAAATAGATTAAAAAAACTTGGGATTTTTCTTCGTTTTGCGAACCGGGAAGTTCATTATAGGACGGAGGGAGTATAAATAGTTAATCAACAACAAGAACCCAGTGGGCGTAGATTTTGGGGAGGGTGAGTGTATCCAAACTTTACTCTTGCTCGGAAGTAGAAAGACTATTTCTAAGCGACTCTCATTTTGATTAACACAGAAGAAAGAAACATAAAGTAGGCGAAGAGAAAAATGAAGCGAACATTGTTAAGCACAAAAAGTACCGTCAAACTATCCAACTATCATATTTCTATCTTTTGTCATATCCTCGACAGGGGCTAAAAGTCTAAGGTTTTGGCTAACCACGTCTTTCAAAGTCTGCTTAGGTCTAATTCTTTTATATTCTCGTCCACATGACCGATTATGGAATAATTAGAGACTAAATATGAAACATTATCTTTAATTAATTAGAGACTGTATGTTTACTCTTGGTAATAAATATTCTCGCAACATGAATCTTTTTATGTAAAGTAGAACAACCCAATAGAATTTGAAGAGTACTTTTTAGGAGTTGGATGAAACTAAAAGGAAAAAAAAAGTTTAAGTTACTCCACAAATGTTTTGTACATCCAAGATTTTTTAGGAGAGCCATACCATCGTACGTGAAAGGATGGTGGAATAGAAGACATTCACAAGACGAAATCATGCAAGCCAAATAAAAAAGTAATGAAGCTAGGAGGGCAAAAGCATGATCTTAAAAAAAACATCACTCAATATCCATACAAATGATATACGTCGTAAGTAAATAAGTTCCCAATGCAATTTTCATTGTATAACAGCTCGTAATAATATAAAGGACTATACACCAAACAAAAAAAATGTGGAATTCTCACCCTCACAATAACGCATCATGTGTAGAAAGACATGAATATGATCATTGGAGACTTGTTAAGAACTTAACAATTTGGGTATACAGAACATCCTTGGCAGTTATCCCCATGATAAAGTCGGCATGGGCGTAATCCTCAATGTACTGAACTTGGAGCTTGGGAACATCATGGGACTTGAGGTTGTCTTGCAGGGTCAGCACATCTGTGGAGTCCGATAGGGCATCCCGTCCTCCGTAGCTCATGAAGATGGGAAAGTCACAAGGAATGTTTGTGAGGTTGTACACGGGAGGGTTGGGTTTCCCGTAGTGGCCTATATTAAAAAACTTGTTGCCATAGTCATATTTTGCTATGACACCACCGCGAACAGCTTCAATTTCAATTATGTCGTCTATGTTAGTTTAACTACATTATCACTCAAAAATGAAAAGAAACGTAGCACAATCGCTTACTCTGAGCCAAATGCACCATGTTCTTGGTAGATGTTGGCTGCGGTTCGTGTTCCTTGAAGAGGTCGACAGTAGAGGCATTGAGACAGCAGTTTTCCCCTATACATATATAATTCGCCGAATTGATGTCAAAGAAGCTTAGTTGACTATTAATTGCGCTCAAGAATCAAGAGAACCAAGATAATATATAATGCAACGTTATAAGTGAAGTTATACCAGTAAACACACTCATCAGGTCCGAGCAGTCTGCCCCTGAGAGATCATTCAAGAACTTGGACACAGCCGCACTGCAGGAATCGGACAATATCAAAAGGTCAAGCTTATGGTTGTAGGTGCAGGAAAGGTTTTATATATATATATATATTCTAACACCCGATATTTCAACATAAATTCTTACCTTTTTGGATCAAACTCTGCCATATCGAAGACTGATGTAATGATCTGCAATGGGCATTATATTGCATATACGAAATTAAGTTTTGATCTCCGGTCCGTTTTATACATTTTTCTCTAAAATATAATCCAAAGTTAACGCTTGATTAAAGTTTGTACGCCCGCGCACCTCACCGACGAAAGCTTTGGCAGCCATGACGCCAATCTTGGTGGTCATATGGCTCAAGTAAGCGATTGGGCTTAGCAACGTTGCAGACCTCACCTTGTCTACTAGCTTTCCCTCCGACAAAAATGCCAAAGCTATCAATGTCCCCTGCAAGTTATTCATTGATGAACATTTTTCGATTAACAACAACTTATTATATCCATCATCCTTACTTGGGAAATGCTTATTTTTGAAATAATTTCATGAAAAGCAATCTGCGTTAAAAATTACAAACGAATATTTTGCAGAAATCGTTTGTCCTTACCATTGAATGGCCTATGTAATGAATCTTTTGACCAGTTGTTTTAAACACATAATCTATAACCGTAGGTACGTCATGAACCACCAAATCATCCCATGTCCAGTTCCAGTATTCCTAAACACAACAACAACAACATACCTTATTAAAGGGAACAATAAGACCCAAACTCTTCTTACATGTTTTGTTTTTTGGTACACATCTTGCATGTATGTGATTGTAAGAATGACCATATATAATAATAATAATTTATAATAAGTTAAAAGTAATACATACTATCTTATTAGGATCAAGGTTCGAATGCCTCCGGCTGTACTTGGTTCCCCTTAGGTTAGAAATCCAGACATCGAACAAACCAGTATCTGCCAAGATCATTGCCAGTGATTGCTCTGGTCCGTTCAAAAGCCATGTCGCGCCATCCTGTACCGTACGTACATATACATATATACTCCTTAAAACATTTATTGATTATATTCTTGTTGTTGCTTGTTAGTTATTACACTTGAGCATTCAGGGACAAACTCTGTTGCAAAATTCATTCACTCCTTTGCTTTGGAATTATGAAAAACTTTATAAAAATGATTGCATTGATATGCAATCGAATTTATCTTTAGCCGTTTATTTAAATTTATCACGTTTGAATGAAAAAAATCAAACTAGGCATATATTTTTAGAAGGAAATATTAGTATTCTACAATCATGCAGCGCACAAAACTACAATATACCGAGTATTGATTATAAAAGTTTTCTTTGATGTGTAATATGGACAAGGCTAAAATCCACCGTTGGTCCTTCAAATTTTTGCGTTATGCACGGTTAGTCCTTCAACTTTGAAAATTCCACGAATAGTCCTTCAATTCATGTTAGCGTTGCATGGTTGGTCCTTCAACTTTGAAAATTCCACGAATAGTCCTTCAAGTCATGTTAGCGTTGCATGGTTGGTCCTTCAACTTTGAAAATTCCACGAATAGTCCTTCAAGTTACATTAGTGTTGCATGCTTGGTCCTTCAACTTTGAAAATTCCACGAATAGTCCTTCAAGTCACGTTAGCGTTGCATTGTTGGTCCTTCCGTTAATTTTATCGTTAGTCAATGCATTTTGTATTTTCCATTATAAATACATGTGAGGAATCCTTTCTTCTTCATATAATTGAACCATATTTAATATAGGTCCATTAAAGTAATAATAATTACTCTTACTTTTATTACTCAATTTTTTGAATACAATAAGTTACTCTTGCTTTTATTAGTTTAATTTTTAAAAAATACTAACTCTACAGTAAAGTATTTATCAAATTTTAATTTTTTACAGTCAACCAAGTTGAATTTTTTACCAATATCTCAATTAAAATAAATCTACAAAAAAGTACTCCCTCTGGCCTATAATGATCTTCCCAGAGCACTATTCCAACTTCACGGGAATTTATATTTATTTGTGTTTTTTCATGGCCTATATGATAAAATAAAATATTCTTGTCACCACTTGTTTTGTTGAACTTTTGGTGTAATTTTTAAATATGTATGTTTTATTTTTTATTTCTATACCAATATTTAAAAAAAATAGATTGAAAAAACTTGGGATTTTTCTTCGTTTTGCGAACCGGGAAGATCATTATAGGACGGAGGGAGTATGACTTAATTGTATGAAAAAGAGAAGGTTTCTCACGTGTATTTATAATGAAAAATGAAAAAATGCATGGTGTAACGCCAAAATTAACGAAAGGACCAACCATGCAACACTAATGTAACTTGAAGGACTATTCGTGGAATTTTCAAAGTTGAAGGACCAACCATGCAACGCTAACATGACTTGAAGGACTATTCGT